CAGTGTTTTTGCAGACGAGCCGAATAATCTTCACAGGTCTTAAAAGAAACTCAAGTCGTGTCATCATAAGACGTGTATAAGCCTTACTTTGTCTGACCGATCCTGTGGACTCGGTCCGTTGCCTGGAGGTCGCTCTGCGGGTTGAAGTCTGAGTCGTAGAAGATCACCGTGTCTGCCGCCGACAGATTGATGCCAATGCCACCGGCCCGAGTACTCAGCAGAAACACGAACGTTTCTTCATCGTCCGAAAAGCGGCGAATGACGTTAAAACGCTCTTCGGCCCGAACCGAACCATCCAATCTTTCGTACGTATAGCCTGATGACAAATTACCTCAAGTTAGGCCCACAAAAAAACTATGATACAATCGTTCTTTCCTTACCTCGGTATGTCAAGTAGTCCTGTAAGATGTCCAGCATGCGGGTCATTTGCGAAAAGATCAACGTCTTGTGTCCCATGGCGGACAGGTATTTCAACAAAAGGTCCAGAGTATAAAGTTTGCCACTCGCTTCTACCAGATGTTCGCCTTCTTCAAACGGTTCTGGCTCCACGTCTGTAATCAAACCCTATTTGCTGACTGCAAGAACAGAACACACTGAGAATAGTTCACTGATAGTAACATTAATACGAACAATGATATCGATCACGGTGGCACCTCGAGGCATAATTAGTAACCGCCACATATGCGGGGAAACGGGATACGTCGACGTAGAATAGTTTGATTTTCACGGAGGCTAAAACTGTCGAGTTTAAATCCACTGAACCGCATAAAATTTCTCAGAAGACTGCCAATTTTCTTGAGCAAGGAATTAAACCTACAGCGCTTCGGTACAACCTCCCGAGATAGATTTAGGGTATGAATTTGCTTACACGCAAATAACAGGGACAACATCGCGTTCTGGAGTAGTCATGCCGGAAGGTGAGACAACGTAAGGCCATGATGTTTAAAGCATGCGCTTTACAAAGGCATTTCGACCTTAACTAAATGGTAACTGATGAAACATCAGCGCAACATTTGAACCGGGACTATTAAATATACTTATTTAAATTTAATATGCGCATTTCGCAGCATTGAGCAAACGAATGTCTTACTAATCACAGATTATGTTGCAGGTGCCAATGTTCCTTATGGCATTGTATAAGTGGTGCACAACGATAAAAGTAACGGTGAATAAGAACAGCTTTCTAATTTTTCTACGTAAAATAACCACTAATGTCATTAGCCCTAGGTTGCTGAGTCGTTGGAGTGTTGGACTCAAAACCGATAGGCCTGGGAATCAAGCCTCGGTCGGTTCACTCACTGTTCTTCCTTTAGAGGTTGATAAATGAGCACTACTTTATGACAAGGAAACAGAAGCAGATAAATGTAGATTCTGCCCCTTAACAAGTAATGTCCTCTTAGCAGATGCCATAAAAATGGAGATCCGCGCCGCATTACATATTTTCTGAAATGAAGAGGCCCAGAGATGATTACATCACAGAAGTGCAGGGAATACGGATATTTTAAACATCACAAACTTTCATTTTTCTCTGTTATAATGACCAGACAATATATGACCAATTAAGTAAGTAAGGCGAGGAACCAACGCTCTGAAAAGTAACCCTGCGAAAACCAATGTATCAACTGCCGGACACATCTACGAGCAATACAAAATAAATTATAATTTTAATATAACTGAAAGGCACGCATTTTGAACCTGAAATATATGCATGAACTTGCCGCTTAAATAGTGCGATACAATGAGAACTCACTTGGAAACAGGTAAGGATGATCAACACACTTTCGCAGCTGAACCAGCGTATTCAGCAAAGACATTTTAGACGAATGTTTCTGCTGCAAGAAGTCTATAAATCGACAAAAAAAATTAACGAAAGCATGATAAAAGTGATCGGCACGTTAGACACAGTGGTACATAATAAACATAATATTATGTTGTTCTTGATGATTCTTAAATCTCTCTTATCAACTATGTCTAATAGAATGTACGCTGTCCCGTTTCAAGGAGTAACGTTTGATGATTACCTTAATCAAGTTATGGGTAGGAAAATGGTAAAATATGAAAATGGCAAAAACAATGGTTGAAAAACATGGAACGGCAGTGATAAAGGGTTTGAAGAGTTATGAGGGAGCAACGTGTAGGAATAATAAGAATCTTCATAGAATCATCCTTTTTTAAGCAAAAACTGGCAGCGAGGCAAAATGGATCATTCGTTTTTGAAGGAACTGTAAAAAGAAATTGTTTATTCATTAGCCAATTTACAAGATGCTCGAGAAGATACCGACGTACAAGCTACAATAAAAACCGGATGCTGTATGGCTAAAAGAGCAAGCAGGATTCAGAAATAGGCTCAGTACGATGAATCAGATCCAAGTAGTAGAATAAGCAATTCAGACAAGCAACGAATATCAGTTGCTTTTCTGTCTGGAGTTCGTCGATTTCGAGGACTTCAACTCTGTTGAAGTCTAATCTGTCTGGGATTCTTTAAAGAGCCAAGGAATCGAGAAAAATACAGACCTCCTCGCCATCACTTATAAGAATGTAACTGGTAGTACGAAGCATCGCGAAAACATAAGCAAGTTTAAAATGAAAACAGCCTTCAAGAGGATTGTATAATATCAAAGAAGTTATTCCAGACAGCGTTGGAAGAGGTTTTTAAAATACTGCGTTGGGAAAAATCAGGGGCTAAACATAAATGGGCCATAACTAAGCCACCTGCAGTTTACAGATGATATTTTGATCCTATCAAGGTCCCCAGAAAAACTGCAACAAAGATCCAAAAGCTGAACGATGCCACCATCAAAACAGGGCTGAAAATAAAGCTGAATAAGACTCAGGTCATGTTTAACAAAAGACTAAAACAGATGACCCCTTGAGCTGCTGCGGTCAACCGACTTAAGCTTGAAAAGGGCAAAGCTATGATTGTCTGAAACTACTCATCTATGCAACGGAGAAACTGAAAATATTCCAATAAGGAAAACTGCCCTTGCGTTTGAAACGATGAGTGTATGCTCCCAATGCTAACCTATGGATGCGAAATGTGGATCCTAATCCTGAAAGCTATTCATAAATTGGAGACTACGTGATGCAGCGTAAAACAGTATATCAGAAGATGAATGAATGGATAAGAGCACAAAAGAATCCGCGCTGTCATAAAGTCAAAGTTAAAAAAGTGAAGAAACTAAAGTGCTGTGGATACAATACGTTGCTAGAAGAAACCACCATGGATAAAAACCACACAAGGCAGAAGTTTGTGGCAAAGTCTTTGAGAGAACCTCATCCAGTAGTGGATCGACTAGGCTGACGTTGATGATTAGCTACCCTAATCCCTAAAGAGTCATAAAATCCAAAGGACGCGAAGTGAAATCACCCAAGGGCAAAAAAAGTAAAAAAAAAAACTTCATTTGAATATCAGATTTACATTTCCATCATGGGCGCCGTGTTTCTAGTAGTATCTATCTTTTAGTAAAACCTACGGTACGATCTGGAGTCAACATCGTTTCTATTGCATCAGTTCGAGGCACCTTATTTTAAATACAACGTCTGCAGCTGCAGATACCTGTTTCCTTCCCTAAAAAGTGCAGCTCTCGTTTATCTACGTTGGAAAAATAAAAGATAACTGGCAGACCTGGATCCAAACTCAAGACCTATGGTCTCTTTCTCTGTGTCTAGAGCCATTGAAGTGACATGTAATTTACGGCCTAACTTATATCAGTGACAAAGAAAATATGCCGTTATGTGGAAGAGTCTTGTTTTATCCGCCTCAGAAGAATAAATGGCAAATAACCTTACGGGAGTTTGACCCCAATGACTAACTACTGTGAGAAAGACTGTGTCAAATGAGTCAACTCGGTACCGTTCCTTGCTCCGGCATTTAAGTAGGCTACGGCCGGCTGCACGGTATTTGAGCACCGACAGCGCAATAGGCCATAACATCTGGTCTTTGAGGGGCTATTCGGTATTTGACATACTCGGGAGT